GCGAAAGACTGGGCCACATGGGATGAATGATGAAGCAATCTATTCTCTCGACTGTAATCATCATCAAGTGCCTTGCTAACTGACGTGGGCAATCATGCTTCCCCACAGGCAGCGATCTCAACAGCATATCAGTCATGTTCGGACACATCTCCATGTCATAACAAAAGGCTGTAGGTAACCTCCTCACGTGTCTTTCTGGTTTTTGTGATTTGTTGACTTCGCTGCCTCGACTTTTTCAAAACAACTGGGCTACTCATTTTGGATGTCCAAGACGTCTTAAGCATTCATTCTTCTGTAAAAGAACATCTTTGACGACCCGAGACATTTTGTTGGTACCATCACCTTCAAACACTTTAGTTACTTAGTCGACAGATTATTCTCACAGCACATTGAACCATTCAGACTAGAAGTGCTCGGATCCCATCCTTAGTAAATCCCACAGCGTGTAGCGCCTCATGGCTCCAGTCTGTGTTGGTTTCTTATTCTTCTTTGGTTTCCAGCATAGTGCTCTAGTCAGGCCATACCCCTTTTAACATGTTGTTTGTGCAATCTGGTCATGGTTGCAGATTCACAGTCATCTCTTGGTTACTTCTTACTTCTCGTAGAGCACTCAGAATATCAGCAAGGTTCATGGCTTGTCCGCCCTCAGTAGCAAGCCGACGAATCTGCTCATTTCCTGGTACGCTTGTGTGCTCTATCACAAATATGAAACTGATGTTTGTTAGTCCCCACTGCTTGAGAGACTCCAACCACTGACTTAGGATCCAGCCCTACTCTTTCCTCCTGAGCATACTCATAGAGTCTCTGAGAAAGTATGCACGAGGAAAGGTCTGTCTCCAGCCATGTTATTGCCTTGTTTACTGCCATGACCTCCATAGTCTGACTATTTGTTGTCAAGGCAATAGAACTAGAATCTTTCTTCATAATGCTTACTCCAACCTGAACCATAGAGGCCCAAGAGCATCTCACATAGGGAATTACAGACCCATCTGTGTATGTGACAGCATCCCTCTGTAGAGAATTCTCGAAAATCAAAGCCTCCTCTTCTGTCTCAACAGCGGCTGGACTTTCTTTTCTGTCTAGACAGGTGCAAACTGAAAAGATCGTGCCGCACTCTGTTGGTACTTGTACCCATCCCTCACCAGGTTCTATGTTCTCAAGTAAACACACACATGCTGAACAATGCCCTTGGTCTGACCCACCCACGATTTTACTTATTTTAACCTGCTGTCTTTTTTGTCCTAATTTCACCATGCAGCGGGTGTCGTGTGTCTGCGCTGACTCTGGGGTAGGCATCGGCTCACCAAGTTTGAATTCTGTCCTCCATGTTCGGAAAAATCAAGAGGGTAGCGCATCGTCCTGCAAGCTGTATCTCTTGTACATCCAAGTGTAATGCGCATAGCCTCGTTCTGTATGTTTCCATCCTCTCCATCTGCTTATGGCTGAGAGTCAAAATCACCATTCGCATACCCAAACAGAAAAGACCAGACCATGATAAAAAGGACATAAATGACGCTGCTCATAGTTTGCTGCAGCCATCACTCTCAACACAGCACACCCTGCTTGGCTTTTTTCAACACTTGGTATACTATATGTGCTCAGTATAAGCCAGGCTTCGACAGCCGGACTTCAATCAAATCGTATCCCTAGGTACTTGATTGTCTATGATCTTTAAACTCTTTTAAACCCGTTTATTTGAGGTGAGTCAAGAATTGACATTATAGCACTTGAGGCATTCCCATGCGTGCTCAGTCCTGATCTTCAGCGGCCAGCGCAGAGTTCCAATGCCAATGGTAACGGTCGCACTCTGGTTATATGTCCGTCTTGACTTCCCTCTGAGTGTAGTGAGCCGACTAGACCCTCTGGTTGGTTAAACGCTGGTGCCTCATTATCTTTAGGTCAAAATAATAATAAACCCGTTATCTTTCGTAAATTTCGAAGTCTCGAGTGTGCAAAGTTTGAAGTTTGTTTTGTCAGAGCAAAGAACACAATTCGTCAGTTAGATTCATATATCAGGATGATCATGACTTCAATGGCCAGAAACAGATGTTTATGTTTGTTACCATGTCAACCCATTTAGTCAGCCCGAATAAGGTGAAGGTGATAGGATGGACTTCATTGCACCGGGGTTTATCTCACATGCTCAGTTTCTCTCCGCAGAACAGCTATCTGCCTGCCGAGAGCGTCGCACAGAGCATGACCCCCATTACTACGGCGACTATCCCCATGGATATCCGCAAAAACTGCACTCGTGAACTGAACAGCGGCGCTGTGAAACGAACCCACTATCTATCTATCTATCTATCTATCTATCTATCTATCTATCTATCTATCTATCTATCTATCTATCTATCTATCTATCTATCTATCTATCTATCTATCTATCTATCTATCTATCTATCTATCTATCTATCTATCTATCTATCTATCTATCTATCTATCTATCTATCTATCTATCTATCTATCTATCTATCTATCTATCTATCTATCTATCTATCTATCTATCTATCTATCTATCTATCTATCTATCTATCTATCTATCTATCTATCTATCTATCTATCTATCTATCTATCTATCTATCTATCTATCTATCTATCTATCTATCTATCTATCTATCTATCTGTCTGTCTGTCTGTCTGTCTATCTATCTATCTATCTATCTATCTATCTATCTATCTATCTATCTATCTATCTATCTATCTATCTATCTATCTATCTATCTATCTATCTATCTATCTATCTATCTATCTATCTATCTATCTATCTATCTATCTATCTATCTATCTATCTATCTATCCATCCATCCATCCATCCATCCATCCATCCATCCATCCATCCATCCATCCATCCATCCATCCATCCATCCATCCATCCATCCATCCATCCATCCATCCATCCATCCATCCATCCATCCATCCATCCATCCATCTATCTATCTATCTATCTATCTATCCATCCATCCATCCATCCATCCATCCATCCATCCATCCATCCATCCATCCATCCATCCATCCATCCATCCATCCATCCATCCATCCATCCATCCATCCATCCATCCATCCATCTATCTATCTATCTATCTATCTATCTATCTATCCATCCATCTACCTACCTACCTACCTACCTACCTACCTACCTACCTACCTACCTACTCTGTCCGTCTGTCTGTCTGTCTGTCTGTCTGTCTGTCTGTCTGTCTGTCTGTCTGTCTGTCTGTCTGTCTGTCTGTCTGTCTGTCTGTCTGTCTGTCTGTCTGTCTGTCTGTCTGTCTGTCTGTCTGTCTGTCTGTCTGTCTGTCTGTCCTCTCTCTCCACAGAGCTTTGTTCAGAAAGCCATTGATGATCAGCGACAGGGGATCGATATTTTCATGCAGCACATCGACAACAAACATTTATCAAGGCACACCAGAACAAACCAATCAATACATTTGGCGGTTATCTGCAAAGTTTGTTTTATGGACATTCGACCAAACACACAGCATTCACTTTACAGTCGCTTCGTTTTCGATTAGTGTAAATTACAGTTTATGAGAGTGTGATAACCAAGAGAAGATGGAAATGGCTTGGCCACGTCATAAATCCTGCCATAACAGCTCTCACGTGGATACCAGAGGGAAAGAGGAAAAAAGGGGGCGCCCAAAAACAACATAGAGAAGAACGATGGAAAGTGGCCTGAGTGCGGCATCTGTGACATGGAAAACTGCACTAAAGATTGCACAGGACAGGAAAGCATGAAAAGTCATCTCCCCATGCGCCACTAAGCATAACGAGAACGAGAACGAGAAAGTTTATGGATTTCATAACGGTCTTTTTCGTGGGGTTTTGAATTTAATTTTAGAATACACTTTACTATAGAGAGAAGGCTCCAGAACCTAGAAATTTGGTCACCTTAACCCCCCCCCCCCCTTCCGGTTATCCTAAAGGATAATGGGCCCCCAATTAAAGACTGGCGCCCGTCACGGTCTATAACATTTGCTGGAAAAAGGGGGGGGGGGGAGAGTGGGTAAGTGCTTCTTTAACCATCAATCTATAGACGTTCTGGCTTTATGTTTTTTTATACATTTATTATTATTTCAGATACATTGTACTATTCATTATAACTAGTATTGTGCACTTAAAGAAGGCTTGAAGACACCTTTCCAAAACAATTATGGGGGGGGGGGAGGCGCTGAGCACCCCTCATGCTTTCTTTGTGACGACGCCGGCGGCAGCAGCAGCAACAGTAGTAGTAGTAGTAGTAGTAGTAGTAGTAGTAGAAGTAGTAGTAGTAGTAGTAGTAGTAGTAGTAGTAGTAGTAGTAGTAGTAGTAGTAGTAGTAGTATAGGCAATAATAGTAATTTAATGGCAAATATCCTGTTTAGCTCTCATAGGTTATATTGCTTATACCTGGGATGTATTTTGGGACTCCCAGCAAATTCAATAAGGATTTGGACTCGGTGAAGAGACGCCAAGCATCAGTTTTATAACGCTAGGACTGTTATGCAAACTTACACTATTATGAAGTCAAAGTTCAGCGGCGAATAACAACAGGAGTTTGTTGGAGAACATGAATAATTTTATGTGGTCGACTGATGCCACTTATGGTAAAGTTAGTCACTGCTAGAAAGTCGTCTTCCTCCAGTATGTTTAACCGCCTCGTTAGAAGGGTTACAGTTGACATCCATCAACTGACCAGTTCAAATGTTCAAAACGTTTGTATCAATTGCACACAACACACAAGGGTGCATCATAGACGAAGTGGTTGTCAACATGATCACAACAACACTTGTGAACTCACAAGAAGATATTCAGTGCGCACCACAGAGAAAAGTCAGCATAACAAACCGCCGTTCACTGTTGTTGGAGAAGAGGCTCGCGTAAACAGAACCTCAGAACAGTTTATCAAAAACAAAGCTAACTGGGAAAAGACAATACAAACTTACAAAGAACTGGTAGACATTTCTGTTTCTGGCGCAGGAGAAAAAGCTATTGAAAGACACGTGAAGCAGCAGGGTAAAATGATGATCGCTGACAGAGTGAAGGCCTTAGTTGACAATCCTGAGGATTTCCTGGAGCTGTCTCTCATAGCGGGTATTGGTATGGAGTACGGACATGTTCCTAGAGCTAACATATTGACAGGTATGTTACATTTTCACTGGTTCACTTCCTAATTGTTTATCATATGTGTTAATAGAACTTTTGCAGACTCAAAGTATGGCCTCTCTGTGTGGGTTTTCAGTGCCCCATTAAAAAGGGGGGGGGGGGAGGGGCTGGGGGTGGAAACAGGGGCAGGGGGAGGGGGGCAGATGATGCCCGCTGCCCTTAACAAGAATGTCGGCTCTCCTCCGAACTTCGTCCCTGTGACGTGCGAAACTTCATTGTGACGAGCGTAAGCTTGGCGTACAGTGTGACGTGCTGTAAAGGCTGCGTGGTGATGTGCGGCGTACCAAAGTGACTAGGGGCATCGCAATGTAACAAAATGGCATCAACACTTAACATGCCACTGGCCAAGAGTAACACAACATGATGAATGCTGAAGCTTCCAAACGTAGCGGAACGAGAACTCTCTTTAAAAGTTCAATTTGTGTATTGACAAATAGCAATGATCAACACAAGGAGAAAATATGCAAGTAATAATTCATACTCATTCAAGCACATCAACAAAAGCCCGCTCGTACATCCATGGACTGATATGTCCTCACGACATGTCGCAGTCCGACCTTGAGATCCAGACAGTCATCTTTGTCTTCGGTTCCTCCGTCTGAATTAAGTAATGAAGGTATACCGGCTTACTGCGGAACTGTGTCAATATACCAGCTTTCTGCTGAGGTCTATATTGGATTCCCGGGGTAAAATGTCCTCAAGGATCCAACTGTATATAACGTTTGCTTCCGTGGGATCCCGGGGTAAAGCGTCCTCAAGGATCCACACGTCCGTCTCCTTCGGACTGTAAACATCAACTGCTTACCGTGGCATCCCGGGGTAAAGCATCCTCAAGGATCCAACTTGATTATCATACCTTCCGTGGCATCCCGGGGTAAAGCATCCTGAAGGATCCACACCAAAGCCGGACCAAACGTCCGCCTTGGTCAAACTTCGACTTTCATCTCCTAGAATACAATCCCTTCACAACCCGACGTATTGTTTTGACGTCTTATTTGCTCACTCAGTACTGGTGCGTTCTGGTGCACATCCGCACGCGACAGTCCCCCTATTATGGCGGCCAAACAAATACTCCAACAGGGCCTCAGTCTTGTATAAAATGTGGACTTCCTCCGACGAACACATCACGGCAAAACTAGGATTACTATTTGTTGACAATTTCGACACGTAGCGGCGTAGGGAGATATTGTCGGCAGTGCAGCATAGTCGCAGAAACAGGTCCGTAATTAACATATCCCTGAGACCCTGTTAGAGTATCTGTTTGCCCTCGATAATATTGGTTTGTTATTCGGAGGCAATCCTAGTTTTGCTGCAATTTGTTCCTCGGCAAGCACTCCACATTTTACACACGACTGAGGCCCTGTTATTGTAATTGTTTGGCCGCCATAATATGGGGCCGAAGTTCGGAGGAGAGCCAGCATAATGTCATTTAAAAAGCATCTAATCAAGGCAGAGGTCTCCAACTTTTTTTCAGGTGGTGCTTTCCCCCCTCCCCAATGCAAGGGCTGCCCCACCCCCCCCCCCCCCAAATACAAGGACCTCCCAACCCAAATACATGGCAAGGACCCCCCCACCCCAAATATATGGCAAGGACCCCCCACCCCAAATACATGGCAAGGACCCCCCACCCCAAATACATGGCAAGGACCCCCCCCCCCCACCCCAAATATATGGCAAGGACCTACCCCCACCCCAAATATATGGTAAGGACCCTCCTTCACCCCAAATACATGGCAAGGACCCCCCACCCCCCACCCCAAATAAAAAGTAAGGACCTGCCCCCACCCTAAATACATGGCAAGGACCCTCCTCCACCCTAAATACATGGCAGGGACCCACCACCCTGAATACATGACAAGGACCCCCCCCCCCCCCCCCCCCCCATATAAAAAAATGTGTCTCAAAAGAGATCAGAAGGGAAAATGCCGGATACCGTTGATAAGAACTTGGAGAAAAACATTCAAAGTATCAAATAACAGAAAAGACACAATCACCAACAACACTAGTAGTAATCAAATAGGATCTTGCACAATATACTTCTGAATCTCTGAGAACCAAATGGTCTGTAAAATGTTGACTATCATCATATACCTAATGCTGAAATGTTTCTTTACTTCACTTACTAAGAACACCCATTAAAAACTAAATTGCAAATTGATTGTATGTGTTTACCAGGAATAGGCAAAGTAATGGACCGGTATTGCATGATCACTGCTATGGATGGAGCATTCAAAGGAGGTGCAATCTATCCTATAACCCTGAAAAAACAACTCCGAGCACAGCAGATCGCTCAACAGAACTGCCTGCCTTGCATTTATGTAGTGGACTCGGCTGGAGCATTTCTGCCTTTGCAAGTAATTTCTTTTTTGTTTTTGATCACTGTATATTTTTGCTACAGCAATCCCCTCTGTGGGTTCGTGGCCCCATTGATGGGGGAAAGGGGGGGGGGGGGGAAACAAGAATAGACCCCTGCCTCCTCAACAAGCATGTAGTAGGAATTGACAAACTGGGGAACTTGGAGTGCATTTGCCCGAGCGGCAAGAAACAACCAAATGCACACAAATAAGCCAGTAGAACAGATCTATCCGCAAAAATCTGGCCCTGACACAAAGCCAAAGTCCAAATGGATGAACAACCAGGAACTCCCGACGGAGTTTACAGCCGGTGAACACAGAAGAAGAAGAAGCTACAGTAATTTAGCCGTGTAATAGACTGCAGTGGTTGGAACATTGAGAGAAAAGGGCGAATAACTGAGACAAAAACTGTTCGAAAAGAGGTTAAATAAGAGAGTAGAGGGCAGGGCACACCACGAATGATGGAAAGATAACATGCTGGCAGACCTACAAACACTTGGAGTCACCAACTAGAAAGAGTAGTCCAATCACAAAGATAATTGGAAGTTGGTGATATCTGCAGCAGTGCACTTCAAAGACTGAAGAAGTAGAAGATGATGAAGAACAATTTTGCAATATTTGTGCTGAATGTGGTCAGTGGTTGTGAATCTAACACGTCAGATTTAAAAGAAGTATGAAGCTCTTTGTGGTGTGTACAACTTTGAGTGCTTTATTGTCGCAAGGAAAATCTGGTATATTTCCTCATTCATTTTCTTATTTAAGTAAAACAGCAAATCACATAACAGAGCATGCACTCAGGCACATATGTATGTCATTGTCAGCTACCTTGCTACCACTGGGCATGAACAATCATGCTTCTCCACACTTTGTGAGGTCCAGTATTTTTTAATACTCTGATACCCTTCTATGCCATGACCAGAAGCTGCCAAGTAACTTCTCTCAAAGTCTTTCTCCATCTCTCTTCCCATACATCTTTCCACTTGTCATAACCTGTTCCAGTTGTTCATTTCTTATATCGTAGAAAGATATAAACCGAACAAAAAGTAGATCGGTAAGCTTCACAATATGACTTCATCAGCACATACATCAATGAAACAAAACTACACAGGTACACAAAATCACTTAACTGACATATCCCGAAACAGCCACATTGATGTCTTGCAATGCAATGGTTCTTTTCTTATAATGTGACCAAAAAAATGGTTCACATATAATATATCATACCTGACTTCCACAGGCAGACATCTTCAACCCCGGAGGCCAGGGATTCTATAATGAAGCTGTTATGTCAGCAGCACAGATACCACAAATTGCCATAGTATGTGGGAGCTGTACGGCTGGTGGAGCTTACATCCCCACCATGGCAGACGAGGCGGTGATTGTTGACAAGGCTGGGACAATATTTTTGGGTGGACCACCTCTAGTGCAAGCTGCTCTTGGGGAGACAGTCTCAGCAGAGGAGTTGGGAGGTGCAACACTACATTGCAGGTAGTGCTTGTGACCCTTCTAAAGATTAGCACAGGAGGCTGTATTTATGCAGTGATTTTCTGGCATTTACAGTGTAAAAATAATTGTATTTTTTAAATAAGTAAAGGTTTTTTATTTGTGGGCTAGAAAATAATGGAAACATTGTGTACCAGAGATAGATAGATAGAGAGAGAGAGAGAGAGAGAGAGAGAGATAGAGAGAGAGAGAGAGAGAGAGAGAGCGGGGGGGGGGGGGGGGGGGGATTAGTGAATGCTTTATCAACAGTGCCAGGTTTCCAGGTTTGTCTATGTATATCCTGGCAATCATATGATAGGATAACTTATAATCAGAAATTGATCACATTTTAATAAATAATAGAAATGCATCAAAGATATAGTACAATCTCTTTGTTTAGAGCACTTTCCTTCTCGTACACCATAAATACCGTAGCAATGGGACATTGTCTGTGTAATAAACTCATCAGAATCGCTAGATTCAGAACAGTTGATCCCTCGGCTTCGCTGGTGAAAAATCACCGTCTGAATCACTTTCCAAAAAATCTAAATTGTCATTATCATTATCAGAATTAAAAACATCTGACTGAAACAATTTCAGAGCTTCAGCCACAGAAAGACGCATTGTGCGACCTGTGCTTGTGGTAGGAACATTGGTATTAATGGCACTCAAAAACAAACTTAGAAAATGCACTGTTGAAAAAAATTTCCCTGTGAATCCATTCAAATTATGCACTTGTGATTTCTGATAGGGAAAGTATCTAAAAGGATTTCAGCATAGTAGCTTTCTCCGAATAGTTTAATCATACTTCTGAACATTAGAAACAAGTACAGAGCTGTGTGCAAAGCAAAGTGTACGGGATACACAAACAATGATGACAGCGTTGTTTGGGCAAGACGAAACTTCTCAATCAATGCTCACACTGTTGCTTGGGCCTCAAAGAGTTAAGAGATCTTTATACACCAAGTTGCAAAGATCACATCCAGAGTACAATAGAAAGAAAATACAAGAAACATCAATATCATAAAAATTTGGGAATGAAAACGTAAAACTGAAATTTTACAGAATCCGTCTTAGGATTTCACAATCTTATAGTAAGTAAGGGTAAAGGACCCCTTTTCCACACCTTTAGGCGTATAGGGCATATAGGGCTAGACCTATATTTTTATAGACCAATCGGCAGGAGATGGGTAATGTGGTAGCATCACGCCGGCCATCTTTACTTCCCGTGACTGCACCTGGTACCCACTCAAGGCTGGGTCGACTTGGAAGCCAAGGTCATTTTTGAAAATAGTCCTGCTCTTCTAGAAAGCGAACCCACGACCTTCTGATCCGCGGCTAGCATCTAGCTACTCGGCCACGGGGACTCCCACAATCTTATATGGGACTGTTTTTATGTCTTTCTGTACTTCTGGATCATCTAAAGATGTCCATTTAAGTGCTTAGTTGCGAAAGCATGTTCTTTGAATTGGTTTTAAGAAATCAGAAAATGCAGCCAGTAATAAGAAACATGCTAGGTAGATATAGCTAAATGATACTAGCAAAGTACGAAGTGAAGAAAATATAGAACAGAATGTAAAGAAACTACAAAAGTAGTCAGGCAGGAAAAGCGAGAATACATGAACAGTGTTGTGATGGAAATGAAAGCTGACCATCAGAGCAACGAATTCAGAAAGTTTGTTTTTTAAAAAGATTGAACTCTGTAAAACAAGGGCATCAACACAGTGTATATGGCTAAAAAGATCACAATAGGAGCATTATAAATAATAATGAGGTGTAACAGATGAAAGGAATACTTTACTGAATTGTTAAATTGTGAAACTCCACTAAATACTTATCCACTAACATGTGAACCAAATACTGAAGAACCTGATTTTGAAGAAGTTCTGTATGTCATAAAACAGCTTAAAAACAATAAAGAAGCTGGTACTGAAGGAATTGCTGCTAAACTTATAAAAGAAGGTGGACATGCTTTGCATTTAAAGATATATGAATTAATAAAACTAGTTTGGAAGACGGAGAAATTACCCCATGAGTAGAAAGAATCATTATTAATACCCACTTTTAAGAAAGGTAAAAGTAAAAAAGTAAAGTACCCTGTTTTACGCCTTTAGGCATATAGAGCATGTAGGGCTAGACCTATATTTTATAGATCAACGGTACAAGATGGGTGATGTGGTCAGCCTCTACTTCCCGGGACGGCACCCGGTACCCACTCAAGGCTGGGTCGACCTGGGAGCCAAGGTCATTTTTGAAGAAAAGAGAGAAATTCAGACTCTTCAGATAACATCTGCTTTAAAACAAAATGAGCTCTGTCCCCATTTCTCTTCAACTTGGCTGATAATCACAGGATCATTAGGAAGCAGGATAAACATTGAAGTGTGCCAGATTCTCGAAATAAGAGTTTTCTGAACAAACTTCATCAGTCTCTTTGTTGCGTGCTGATTTGGGAGAGTGTAATAGTGTTTGAAGGGACAGAGTGGTATGATAGTACTTTCCAGGAGTTCAAGGGAATGTCCTATGGACAGTGTAAACATTGGCCCGAGTAGTGAGGGGGAGAAAATATTGGGACCAGTGAGAAATGTACTATCACCTAAGAGGCATGCATGCCCGTGAAAGTAGATGCGTGGGTTCACGGTGGGGGCTGACAAGAGAAAGTATGAATTACGTGACAGCGTGATTCTCAGGTAACAGCAACCACCCACATAAGCATGATTTTCGAGAATGCCCACATGAGCGTGACTCACGAGAAGGCTCACATGAGCATGATTCCCGAGAATGCCCACACGAGCGTGCCTCTCGTGTAACATCAGCCGCCCACATATGTTCGGCAGGGATATATTGGGGCTGCGTAGACAGTCCGGGTCAGTGAGCTGCAGCCAGAGAGCTAAAGCACTGGGGAAGTGTGGGTGTAGTACACACCCAGCACGAGAGTGCTGTACGTCAGAGGGAGAGTTAATCAGAGAGAGACCAAGTCAGAGTCCGAGGCAGAGAGAGAGAGAGACCAAGTCAGGGTCAGAGTAGGTATCTCTCGAATGAGACAGTACAGAGAAACCATCAGACAGCAAGGTCTGTGTAAGGGTTGCGTGCAAGGTACTGGTCGAAGGTATAGTCCCGCTGGCGAAGTAAGGTCAAGGGGACTGGATGCTCCAGTAGTGACTGTTCTGGGTGACGGCTCAAGGAGACGTAGGATCACTATGGAAACAGAACAGTAGGGATGCCGGCGAGCGCACATAAGTCCTTCGGTCATCAGAGTCCTTTGATAGGCTGATGTGCTGTGGGCAGATGCTGGAGAACGAGCAAGTGAAGTCCATTTCCTGTCAGCCGAAGTGTCTGCTGATGTAATATCAAGGTCCAGTTGATAGAGTTTGTCCTGTTCTGCTGTACAGTGAGCCCAGAGTTGTGGGACGCTGTAGACCTTTGGAGCAGTAGCGGTTAGGGAGAGGTCACTACAAGTTGAGAGAGAAAGAGTGAGGACTATATGGACTATGTTCGAATGTCAATTAGGATCAATGTCTACATGTCTACGTATGCAGGTGTGTTGATGTTAGGGCGTGTAACTACCTCTGATGTTTTGTCGAATAAACCTGTTGTATGACGGAACTACTGTCATCGAGTCCTGCTTCGATAGTGTGGGAGCAAAAAGTTATACCTATAGACACTTGGAAGTGTGCTGATTCAGTGTGTAACTCAGATAGCACACAACATTTTTTAAATAGTTGTCAGATAGTACGTGTCCAAGAGTATGTGTGTTGTGGTTCCTATAATACACAAGTAATAGAGCTGCTTTCAGTACCTCTAATATATGAATCTTTAGAGCGTTGCACTGACCAGGAATACAGATGTCACACATATTGTCAGATATGACTAGAACTTGGTGTAAACAGTGCTCTTCTTTTGCCCAAAATCCTCACACTTTTGTTGTTGTTGTTAACAGGACAAGTGGTTGCACAGATTATTTTGCTGAGAGTGAAGCAGAAGCCTTTAGAATTGGGCGGAATATTGTAGCTTGTCTGAAAGTATCTTGTAATACTGACCTGGACATTGCTGACATTGATGAGCCAGTTTATGATATTGATGACATTCCTGGAATCTTGCCAGCTGTTGACTTGTTGCATACACTCAACATGTATCAGGTGTGTTTCAGCCTACTAATTACTTGTCAGATGTATATTTATTTATATGTCATGCCATCAAGTCATGTAGGGCTCGTAGTCAATTCCTCCATTCCATTCTTTCCTATGCAATCTTTTTGATGTCATGAATGGAGTCCTGCACCTTTGGATTTTCTTAATAATGTTTTATACAGGGTTTCTCTTGGATGTCCATGTTTCCTCAGTCCATTTGTTTTTAGTGTCAGTACTTGTATGGCGATTCTGTGCCCCTTCTCAGGTTGTGCCCAGTATATCACATCTTCTTTGTCTTATAATTATTGATTTCAACGGGTGTCCAGACATTTATCAGATTTCTTCACTTTTTAAAAATGTCTCCCATTTAACCTTATTTTTTCCCCAGCATTTTTGTAATGCATTAAACTTTCATTCTGTATCTCTAGTGGTTTCCCAATATCCACTGGCATATGTTAAACATGAACAAACAATTTACATTTGAAGATATGAAACTAAATATTAAAATGGTATAGTTAAGAGTTTCATGTTATTTTATATATCTGTTTCATTATATATAGGAAAGTCAATTGTTTTTTTTAGAGATTATCACTGCATACAAATAACTACTATGAAAATTAAAAGAACAGAAACATATAAACCATCACTGTCTGTCAGAGACCTAAATGTCTAGGGTTCGATTCCATTGGCTACGCTGTAGGCTGATGATAGAAAAACACAACTGACAAACATACCTAAGCCAAACACTGGTTGCAACACACACACATTCTTTATTATCAAAAGAGCAAGACGTGACGCGAACCCCTCAGGAGGGGTGGCGCTCCTTATTCTGAAACCAGGCTGCTTCTAACTTTAAAATCGCTTAGATGCGCCTTTTCACGTTCATGATATAAGCTCTGAGCTGCTACCACTCTCCTTTACAGCGCTAACTCAACCCACTGTCTCCTGATGCCAAAGACGCTATGGCACACGCCACGTGTGGGCCTAGAGGTGCGTCGACAGATGCTAACGCCACAAACAATGCATGGTCTGTCTTATCGTAAAGAGTTATAACTACTGACAAAGTCTAACTACTACCTTAAATCTAATGCTAACTGAGATCTAAATAGAACAGTAATTTCTACCCTGTAATGTATTAAATACATTTAATCACACTACGAATAGTATGCGTTACAGTTAATAAATACAATGGTACATTTCTACAAGTCAGTGAATCTAACACAGTCTAATGTCTGGTCACACATCCAGTTAACAACACCAGTCACAATCAAGAGATCCCAGAACTCGGCCTGCCCAGCCGTTTTGTTACACGCCTCCGTGTTCACACGGTGGTCAGCCTATGTGAAATCCGCTTGGCCTTGACCAAGCTACACTGAGCTTTCACCCAGCTTCGTTCAGTACCCACGTTTCTACGTGTTTCTACACGTACTGAGTTTAACTAAGGGTCGCAGAGTACACTAGTGAGATTAATCATCATCGTACTGAACTATCCAATAACAGGAAGAAACCCTGACACTGTCCTATTGTGCTGTTTTATGTCTCATATATGCTGACACTCTATTCCTCCATTTTATTCTATCCTGTGCAGTACTTTCAATATCAGGGATGGTATCTAGTCCAGCAATTTTGGCTTCTCTCATCAGTGTTCATTTTGGTTTTCTTTTGCCTTCTTAATCTCTTTATTTCTCATTAAGTGCCTGTTTGGTGCTCCCTTCTTCTCAGGATGTGTCCAAAATAGCGCAATCTTCTCTGTCTTATAACTGTTGATTCTAATGGTTGCCCGGACAGTTCTCTTATTCCTTCAACCCTCTTGAGTTCATCCCATGTTATGTTCAGTATTTTCCTCAAGCAGTTATCTTTGAATGCATTTAAATTTTATTCCATGTATTTAGTGGTTCTCCAACATTCAGTGGCATATGTTAAAACTGAAATAACCGTTTAGAGTTACATATTTAAACAAATAAGCGCTTGGGTACAGACTTCAACCTTGCAGCATACTAAAAACAGAAAAAATAAAATTAAGAATACGGTATGGAAGTACAGTATACTATAACCTATGGAAGTAAGGTATACTATAACCTATGGAAGTAAGGTCTACTATATGCTCTGAAATCTGCTAAAATCAAATGCTCACCAAGTTTACAGTATATTGTTTTGAGGTTTTGAATAACGGATCAACATCATGGCACACAGGTGAAACCCGTAAGTGCTCTGTTCTTCTTATGACTCAAGTCTGAGTCCGAAGAAGCTCAGCACAGTGCACAGGTTCTGTAGCCCCTGCGCTAATCCTGAAATACTTTGGGTAGATTTTTAATTCCAAATTCTGCTTGGGCAGCACCATTAGGCTACTCTTTTCGATTTCCAGCTGCCAAGGGCATTTTTCATGTACGCAACAATGCACACGGGCGTCCAATCTCACTACCCAAAGACCAGGGGGAATTACTGGAAGGCCAAGCCCACGTGAAAAAATCCCAGCCCTTACCAGGGATTGAACCTGGAACCTCTAGCACTCGAGGCAGACACCATGCCTAGAGACCATGCAACCCCCTGCTTACAGTATATATAACACTGATGAGACCAAGTGTAACACTTGGCTGTATATAATATATATATATATATATATATATATATATATATATATATAATATATATATATATATATATATATTTATATATTTATATATATATATTTATATATTTATATATATATATATATATTTCTGTATATGGCTGTAACACATGGAGTACAACTAAAAGAGACCAAGTGTAACACTTGGCTCTATATATATATATATATATATATATATTTCTGTATATGGCTGTAACACCTGGAGTACAACTAATTGAGACCAAGTGTAACACTTGGCTGTATATATATATATATATATCTGTATATGGCTGTAACACCTGGAGTACAACTAAAAGAGACCAAGTGTTACTATAAATTTTTGAAAACAGTCTTACAACAAATCTGTTGTCCCATCAAGGCTGCAGGTGTATGCTGAAGAGAGAGTGAGAAGCAACAACAACATTCATATAGAGGCATATATAGAAAATGGAATATAACTTTTAAAAAAGACAAAATCTGCATACACCAGAGAATTGAATGGAAGTAAACTATGAAACAAACCAAAAAAGGTGTGGTGAGATAATATAAAAGCAGACCTGTAAGAATGAATGCTAAAGAATCCCCTTTGATTTTGGGCATTTTTTTTTTCTTCAGTTAGCTGGCCTCCCAGGTCAACCTTATCTAAAATACGGCCAGGTTTTTGGGGGAAAGTAAAGACAGCTGGCATGATGTTGACCACATTGCTGTTAAGTGCCAGTTAGTCTTAAAATATGGGGTTAAAACCACAAACACAAAACATCTTCTAGCATGAAAATGGTTCCTTTCCTTTCAAAACATCTTCTGGCATGAAAATGGTTTCTTTCCTTTCAAAACATCTTCTGTCATGAAAATGGTTCCTTTCCTTTCAAAACATATTCTGGCATGAAAATGGTTCCTTTCCTTTCAAAACATCTTCTGTCATGAAAATGGTTCCTTTCCTTTCAAAACATCTTCTGGCATGAAAATGGTTTCTTTCCTTTCAAAACATATTCTGGCATGAAAATGGTTCCTTTCCTTTCAAAACATCTTCTGTCATGACAATGGTTTCTTTCCTTTCAAAACATATTCTGGCATGAAAATGGTTCCTTTCCTTTGAATTTACATTTGAAGTTTACAACTTCTTCTTCAGCGTTGGCACGTTATATTGTGGTTTACAGTTATTCTATGATGCCTGTGCCTTTTGGGCCTAATACATCTGATTTCATTAAATTCTTACTCAACTGCCTTTTTACGACATGCTTTTTATTTTCCCTGAAATACGGCCCCGGTATCCACACAGGGAAGTTTAAAACAATTTGCTTCTTTCTCTATGTTTGTTTTTCAGATAATAGCTCGCATTGTGGATGGAAGTCGGTTTCATGAGTTTAAAGCTTTGTTTGGGAGTATGCTGATAACAGGATTTGCTCATATTTCAGGGTTAGTCTGAATGTTGGCTTTGTCATTGATGTTTGTGGATTTTCTTGCTGTTTGTAAAATGGTAACAATAATTTTGTGAACAGCATGCTTTCTTTTTGTCCAGTATGGTTGGTCTTGAAAGATTATGTGAAAAAACTGAACTAAATTACACACCAGTCTCATTTAATCACGTAACTTAACTATATACAGAACAACACAGTAGATTTTTGGAGGGAAATGCTATGTCTCTCTTCACATAACAAGACACAACATCAGAGACAAAATTTATGGAAAGAAATTATGTTTCTCATTGAAATTATGACGTCTCTCTCTTCACACAATTCGACACAATAAAAGTTATGTAGAGAAATGATGTCATGTCTCTCTTCACACAACTAGACACAGCTTGAAAAACAAAATTTATGGAGAGAAATGATGATGTCTCTTTTCAAACAACTATACACAACATCAAAGACAAAATTGAGGAAGATAAATGATGCCGTGTCTCTCTTCACACAACTTGACAGAAAAAAATTTAGGAGGAGAAATGATGGCGTCTCTGTTCGCACAACTATACTCAGCATCAAATAGACCAAATTTATTGAGAGAGATGATGTCTCTCTTCAGACAACTTGACACAACATGAGTCTTTAAATTTATGGAGATAAATAATGTCATGTATCTCTTCACACAACCAGACAGACCATCAGAGACAAAAGTTGATGGAGAGAAATGATGACATGTCTGTCTTCACACCATCTTCACACACACAAATTTATGTAGAGAAATAATGACACATGTCTCTTCACACAACTAGACACAGTATCAAAGACTAAATTTATGGAAAGAAATGATGAAACTTGACACAGCATGAAAGACAAAATTTTATGGAGAGAAATGATATCATGCCTGTCTTCACACAATTTGACACAGTATCAAATTTATGGAGAGGAACGATGACATGTCTCTCTTCACACAACTTGACACAACAACATTTATGGAGAGAATTTATGACATGTCTCTCTTTACATAATTTGACACCGCATAAAAAAAAGTGACTGATGAAGAGAATTGATTGCCCACATCAGAAGGAGACAGTCTTTGGTCAGGTCGCGAGAAGAAGAAAACTGGAGTACACCGTGATGGTGGGAAAGTTGAAGGGTGGAAGAAGCAGAGGGAGACTGAGAGAGAAGATGCTGGAGAGTTTGACGTCTGGCATGGAAGATGATCTGTGTCAGAATTGGTTGAAAGTACATGAGACAGAAGATTGTAGATAGACATGACTACCACTGCTACATGGCATGAACTGTAAGAAGAAGCAGGGTTAAATTCTTGCCTGCCAGCCTGAAAGTCTTGTGTTCAAATCTTGCTTGCTTCTGAAGAAGACAAAAAACATGTCGCATTCAGCCAACATACCCGAAGGGGAAGGTTTTGGTTATAATTGTGACTGTTTATTTGTGCCATATGTTATGGCTTAAAAGTGCTCACCACCAAGAAGCCCTGAAAAGGACTCTTGCAGTATTGATGCCATTACCAGACCCAGACACCGTCCCGACTGGCGAAGTTGTCTACCAGCCAGTCAGTAGGTAACCCAGTTGCCAGTGTGTTCAAATCCGTATCAATGTGGATTTTTATAATTGACTTAGAGTTCTGAGCCTAAAGTGGGCACCAAGAAATGTCCTGAAAAGTCAAGGTTGCTGGTTTAATCTTGATTATGCCCATCAGATGCAGTTTGGTCTATACAAATATGGGGCTAGAATCATAGATCCGGTATTTATTATCTAATCCCCGTCCCAATGTGGAACACAATATTTATATTATTTTAAAGCACCACCCCGGCTCTCAGCTGGGGCCCTAAATATAATCTGCAGGTTGACCGGTGTTTCTTGGACTTGTGCCCAGGTGATTCTCATCTGAATGATGGCCTTTTGTGTCACCAGGTGTTTATCGCTCGTCGTGCAGTCCTGGTGAGGTTAAATGTCAGCCAGTCATGTGTCCAGTATACTTATGGGGACAGTGTTAAATAATAGTTTACTTTTTAACAAATTGAGTGTACTGATACATTTAGTGAAAAGTTAAGAGGATTGACTTCGTTTCACTGGGTTTTATCAAACATAGCTCAGTCTCTTTCAGTAGAACTGCTAGCCATTTACTAAGATCATAGCACAAACTCAAAGCTCCAGTGCTGATCCCCAGGGAACTGCACTTGTGAACTTAACATGTCCGTAGAGCAAACCCATAACCTTCAGATAGCAGGTAGACACCTTGACTACTTTGCCACTTCAAGTAAAAATTTTTTTTTTAATATTTAACATAATCCACAGTCACTTAGTTGGCATCATTGCTAACCAGGGAGTGATCAGTGAAGACGAAGCTGTGAAAGCAGGTCATTTCATCCAGCTGTGCTGTGAACGAGATATTCCTTTGATATTCCTTCAGAACACAGCCTCAGATGTACTTGGGGTTTCTTCTAACAAAGAAATAGATAGTAAGTATGTGAGTACTACTGTTAGCATGTACACGTGAAATGGACTGAGAAGAGATGTAGTCATTTGAATGATGTCAGAGAATGGCATCACACTATATACAGTACTAGAAACTACAGCCAGAATGACATCTGCAGACTTCACCCTCTACTTGTCACAGTTTTGGAGGAGTTCTTGTGACTCAGAAATACACAGATAGACACATAGATTTTTAGTTTTATAATATAGGTACATCTGGAAGGGAAGCTGCTGAGGTTTAATGGCCAGATGCTTGACTGATAGCCCAAAGCCACTGCATAGGCTGGATTTGAATTTTAAAAAAAAAAGATGACCTTCACTCCTAGGGTGACCAAGCCTTGAATGAGTACATGGTATTGTGCTAAAAAGGTAAGGCGGCCGACCTCATCACCCATCAAAGCGTGATTATAAAATATAAATTTAGCATCAGTGTCCGATGCACGTTCTTCTTCTTCTTCTTCTTCTCTTCCACCTTTTACTTCATCGAAGTGTCAGGGTAGATGAAACATTTGTTGATGAACACTGTCAAGAGCACTTTTAAGACTGGTGTTCATTCCAATGCACCACTGATGTGAAAAGATCCATTACATTACTTTTACTGACATCTGGAAGACTGAATCTGTGAACAGAGGAAGCAGTTGTCATCCACAAATAGAAGACAGCTCTGTAGGTATATCAGTCATCTGTGTGCAAATTAAAACCATTCCTCAACGCGTTCAGTACAAGACAACTGTTCATTTCTAGGTTATTCAAAATCTCTTCTTCTTCTCCTCCTTCTTCACGTTCACTGTCTTTTAACTCAGTGTTGTCTGCTTAGTGAGTTACCACTAGTCAGCACACTACCAAGTGTCTAGCAGGTACCCTTCAGCTTCCTCTCTAAGAAATAGAACTTGACGACAATGACAACGTCATAAATTTTATTTAACAGGATACATGACACAAATGCAGAGACGTAGTTATTGATCACAGTTGACATTCGCACATCGTCCATTTGTCCTCACTCGCTAGCTCTCTTTCAATTTGTAGTGACCTCTCCTTGACTATTACAGCTCCAAAGACTACAGCACCTCACATTCTGGACACGCCGTACAGCTGAACAGGACAACTTCTCCCATTTACTGGACCTTGATATTATTTCGGCATACGACACGGCTGACTGGAGACGGACTCCCCTTGCCGTACTCCGAAACCACACAGCTGTGGTCAGCTTGTCGCAGGGCTCCGATGACCGACAGGACTTCTACCATAAGACCCCTCTAGCACACAGCTTCAGTACCACAACCTCGACACATACTCAGACCTAAATGCCTGATAGTCGTACGGTATTCTTGTCTGTTAGACTCGCGAGAGATATCACGGACGCTGACTTGGTCTCTGACTCTCGATTCCTCTTTCGAATGCCCCTCAGCCCTCTAATTTATCCCCCTCAAATCCGTATAGGTGGATGATGATTACACGAGAGGCATGCTTGTATGAGCATTCTCGTGACTCATGATCCCGTGGGTGTTCTCGGAACTCACGCTCATGTGGGCATTCTCGAGGATCACACTTATGCGGGTGGCTGATGTTACCTGAGAATCAGGCTGTCACTTAATTCACACTTTCTCTATCTCGTTAGCCATGCTTTCAGCCCCCACACAGTAACCCACATGTCCACTTTCTCTCGTGCGTGCACGCCTTGTTCATGAATAGACATTTTCACTGGTCAATACTCGGACCATGTTGACACTATTCCCCCCGTGAACTCACAGAAAGTACTGTCATACCATTGTCCCTTCACACACTATCACACTTTACCCAAATCAGCGCGCAACACTCAGGCAGAAAGTTCTGGTTGTTCATCCAGACTTTAGTCTTGTTTCAGAACTTGAATTTTGCATGCACATCTGTTTTACAGATCTGTTTTTTTTTAATGCAGACTATTGGTTCCTTGCCTATGAGGCAGATGAACTCTGACTAATACAAACAAAGACAATAAACCCTAATTAATCAACTCTTATGATATGCTTGTTGCAGGGGGGTTGTTATTTTATTTCCCACCCACAGTTGCCTCCGGAACCCACGTAGGAAATTAAGAATATAAGATGATGTTCTTGCTGGCTTCTACCAGAGACAGATTTTATAGTAACCCTTGGTATCTAGATTGTTGGTTCAGTTACTTCTGTATCATAACATCTATGTTGAACTCCTTCAGATCAAAGTATTTGTTGCTTTAGCTCAACTCCTGGGGATAGATAGAAATAAAGTAGTAACTGTTTGTGGTTATAAGAGTTAAATGAGCCCTTTACTAGAGCATCATATTGGCTCTATATATGAAAACCTCTTTGCTGCCCCAGCCATCCTCCAGGGCCAAACAGCATACATGCAGCTGCTCTGGACTGGCCTGTTTGGATGCACTGTCTGTAGACAGAAGATGTGGGTAGCCCCCATCACTCTTGAGGCAGTAGATTTTAGCATGAAACTCTCTGAGAACCTATTACATGAAATGTGCCCATGTACTCATGGGACAAAAGGCTTTCTGATCACCAAACAGAAAATGTTGGCACTCGCCTGTTTCTGATGTGGAAAGTTTAACAAGGCCATGCTGCTGGGGTTCATTGAGTTCATGCACAATACTGACTCACCTTCTAGAATAAACATAAAAACATTACAATTACTACTGTGCATTATTTCCAGGGTTGGTGCACAACTTGGAATATGATGCTCTTCATGGAAACTAGTATAGGAGATTCCACTTCCAAAGACATTGATCATGGAAACAAATAGCAGATCACACCTTGTATGGTGGCAGCATGCTTTGGAATCAGACCACTTGTTGTACTGAGGTGGTAACAGTTAGAATTGTGTACATTGACTAATACCAGTGACCATTTAGCTAGTCCAGAAAGGCGGGGGGGGGGGGGGGGGGGGGGGGGGGGCGGCTGTGTAAAGATGACCAAGAATAAATAAAGAGATTTGTGCTATTTTCTGGCTGACATTGCGCTGTCAATGTCAAATACTGACCCTCTCTCTGCTCAGAGTGAGGAGTGAAAAATTATGACAGTTGAAACTAAATGTCTTCCAAGAGATGTCATTGTGACATGGAAAGATACAATTTAAAATACAGAATTATTTCTTAAACCAGTAATACATTTAATCAAAGAACAACAAATTAAATGGTTTCCCTATCTCACAAGAATATCCTGCTTCAACCTACTACAGAGAACCACATTGGAAAAAATATAATGAGCACACAGCAAAGGGAAAAACCATGCTAATGACAGAATAATCTTAGAAAAATGGAAAACCAGCAAGCACACCACACTAGAAAGAAAGAGCACTCAAGATGCATACATTTTCCCCCACAACTCCGCTGAGGTAAGTAGAGAAAGGAAAAAAGTGAAACTCCCTAGAGGTGGTGACCATTGGAAATATAACAAGCTGTCTGTAATTTATCTCCTAATAATGATCACTGTAAAGGGAAAGTGAATTATGATTGATGTAATCATCATCATCCTATTGCACCATTAAACATCACAGAGGGCCTGCAGTCTAATCCTCCAGTCCATTCTTTGCTATGCAGTCCTTTCCTTCTTCACATTCACAGACTGTAAACCCGGGTGGAAAGTTCTGGTTATTTATCCATTTCTGGTCTATAGTCTTGTTCCAGAACATGAGTTTCACCTGCACCTCCACTTTGCAGATCTGGCCTAATTGTGTACATACTGTTGGTTCCTTGCCTTTCAGGCAATTGCACTAGGACTTCAAAAAGAACATCCTTAATTAGTCGGCTTTTACAACATGCTGGCTAGGGGATTAGTGGGTCTGTCCCCCCCCCCCCCCCCCCCCCCACCCCCCCCCCCCCCCCCCCCCCCCCCCCCCCCCCCCCCCCCCCCCCCCCCCCCCCCCCCCCCCCCCCCCCCCCCCCCCCCCCCCCCCCCCCCGACAATTGGGCTCCAAAATCCATGCAGGTGATTAAATCCTTTTGATATCATTGATGGAATATGGTCCAGAACCCAACAAAGTTCATCTTAATGTTTCTCTTCGACATACACATTTCCCCAGTCCATTTTCTTCCCATCAAGGCCTATTTATGGATACTCTGTCCACACCTGTATTTAGATAGGACAGTGAGAGAACTTTTATTTAATTTTATTAGCACAGGAACAGAGCAAGTTTAGGGTAGCCTGACTGCAGTGAAGTTGAAACCTTGACTAAGACTGTGACTATGGCTGACTGTCTACTTCTGCTCATGATGTGCCCAGTATATTGCCATCTTCATTTTCTTATAACTGTTGATATAACGGGTTGGCCAGACATTTTTCGTGTTTCTTGGTCCTTCTTGATTTCATCCCATTTAATGTAAAGTAGAAAATTCCCCACCATGATGTATTGTTTCCATCAGTATACAGTACCAGACTACTGATTGTTTTCATACTTTTGAACTTATACAACAGACTGCATGTCATTTTTCTAGTGGCAGCCACAAGAACCTGCCTGAAAAGTCGTGCAAGAATGTTGGCCGCTGTTTCTTGTGCATCAGTTCCTAAACTTACTGTTATTGTTGGCGGTGGTTTTGGTTCAAGTCATTATCTGATGGTATGTATCTGCTTTCAAAGATGTGTTCTATTAATTCATGCAGTATGGCGTTGGCAGCCATGATTGTCCACAGCTTTCTTCCTCACGTTCTTCCAGTCAGTACTGACACAGATGATTCATCTTAGCAAAATTGCCAAACTGTCCATAAGGGATTCAAAGAATAGTAACATGACAGCCTATCATGCATGTCAAAAGAGGAGACTCAGGAGGTTTGGCATGTGACAAGCTATTTAATCTTGTAGAAAACTTTAACTGCAGGACCTTTGGGCTAGAATATTAGTGTCTAGTCACTAGACTGTTGAGGCTGCCTGTCCATGTAGTATGTTTGATCGTAAAAATGGTTTAATTCAACATTGCATACTCTTCCTCCTAGCAGTGCCACATTTAATGACTTTTTCATGTTCACACTGACAGCATGTTGGTTGTGCCTCTGCATGTTGGTTGTGCCTGTTTACAGTAACACGTTTAGAAGCGAGCTTTAATCTGACATGATATATGGATATTGAGCATTGATATTTTTTTTAAGTATCCAGAAACCGTGAGTTGTTAACCCTTTGGCTCGGTACTATGGATATTGCAACCCTTCGGCCTTGATTCCATGATAGATAACATAAATTTGGGAGAAATGTGGCTTTTCTGCCAACCGCTGGGCGTGAACCTGCACCACAAGGAGTTTGTCACCCGGTTGCAGCAAAGTCAAGTTTAACCAACTATGCTAATGGGCCGGGCAGGCATTGATTTAAATGATTAGTGAATAAAGTCTGCAGTGGCCCTGCTGTAATAAGAGAAGTAGAACAGTTAGTAAGTAAACAAAATAAATATCTTTCATCCATTGAAAGTGATGGGAGCAGAATTATGTTGCTGTCAATGCAGAGGTCCACCTTCTTATCAGTGACAGTTCAGATGAGGCATAGACTGCTCCTTTATATAAGGACACCAAAGTTCTTGTGCATTCACAGCATGCACTGCAGGCAGAAAAGTCCAGAGGGCCAGTTGTGCCTTTTCTATGATTACTAGCAGCATGAAGATGGAAATGATAGTGATGACTTGAGCTTGCCTGTGGCTGGAATCACATGTATGTGTTTGCTGAGTGATTATAACTTATACAGGATTCTGTGAGCATGATCCAGTAAATGAAGGCAGGGTTTGCACTTAGCCAGTGGATTGAGTCACAGCAAAGTTCCACAGTATGGGGAGCTACCTTCATCTATGTCCCAGGGTATGTTGATGTTGTGGCAATGAAAGAGCTGATAGATTGGCTAGCCCTGCCACAGATGAAGGTGGCCAACCTATGGACCATGCTGACATTGTTAATGCCCTTAGAGCAGACGATGGGTGGATTTTGGGGACAGAATATTGTACAGTGCTAAGAATCCAACAATTTGGAGTAAATAAAAGCCTAGAGAGGCACACTAGACATATGAGGTATTGTCAACCAGCATAGGGCTGGTACTATTAACTGTGAGATGCTGACTTACATGTTGAGCGGGAGCCTGCGACGTATAGATGTGTCCAGAGTACAGTGAAGATAACCTATCTCTTAACTCAAAATGTTGAAACATTCTATGATTGATCAGCTTATATAGAATTTTAAATGTGCTATCCTTGTTTACAGCATGACCAGAGTTTAAAAGATAGTGCACAATGGACAAGGGGTTATCCTTTTATCCACTCTGCTGAATCATGAACGTCACTGTTTTTGCCCAGAATTGTGCAGACAGACATGGTCGTAAACCTATGTTTGCCCTGGTAAAACAGGCAATGACTTTTGTGTGTTGCTGATTTTGTATTTCAATTAGAAGGATTCATGAATTGCTTCATTATATTCAATTGTTACTGTAGAGTGCACCTGATGAGATACAACAAAATATGTCAGGCAATAAATTTTGCTATCTATTGTTTATGTCTTTGTTCAAATAAAGTATTGCATCTAACACGGGTCTCATACAATTTTCCAAGGGTGGCCTTGCTGTAAACCCCAGTTTTTTGTTTGCATGGCCAAATGCTCACGTGGCAATCATGGAACCAGACAAGCTAGCACAAGCTGTAGTCCATGAGGTAACTTACACAAAGGAATTTAAAATCACTGCTTTATTTCTACATACAGTGTCATTACCATCCTCAGTCATAAATACGGCAGCATCAGTATGGCGCTGATATGACACTGACATATTTTACTGATATCATACATGTTTATTTCCAATAGGCATCAGGTCGGATTTCCCCCCAGAATTGACCTTGGCTTCCAGGTAGACCCAGCTTTAAATGCATACAAGCTAATTTCCTGGGAAGTAAAGGTGGCCCCACCCTGATGTTAACTACATCACCCACTGAAGGCCAAGTGGTCAATGAAATGGTCTAGAAGCATCTGCCTGGTGCGTCACTGACATAAAATATGTCCTTTAATTTCTTGTTTCTACATATTTGTCACATTCCTTCTTCTTTGCATTCAACAGCTGTGAACTTCGGCGGAAAGTTCTGGTTGTTTGTGAACTTCTAGACTTCGGTCTTGTTCTAGCGCTTGAGTTGCACTTTCATTTTACAGGTCTGGCTTATTTGCATGCAAGTTGTTGGTTCCTTGCCTCTCAGGCAGATATATTTTAACTTCAGAGGGCTACCTCTAATTAGTTGACTTTTAAAACATGCTTGTTTAGGGTCTACATTGGACCCCAGAACCCACAAGAGATGTCATACTCCATTTGTTTAAAATATCGAGATACAGTGTGATTATTACCCTGTGGTATAAATGCTGAATTATCAGGCTGACACTGAATTGTCATATATCATGTTTCACTGACATTGAACATATTTGTCATGTTCAACAGACGTCTTTTACATTTATCCAGCATCTCTGATATGAAATTCTACCAAAATCTTATATTGCTTATTTATTATCTATACATTTTCATATATTCATTATGTCCTGTTGAAATATTTTCAGTGCTTCTTGATGAAATACAGTTAATTAATTTGTCATCATCATCTGCCACTGTTATGTCAAGCATCATAGGGAGGAATAGTTGATAGTCTGTGTTTGATGGTACTGGCTATTTTCATTTTGTTTTTATTTGTGCATATCTGGAATGTCATCAGCTGTCTTCTCCTCTTGCTTTCATATAAGTTCTTACATGTAGGACCTCTGTTAGTAACTGGTGTTGCTGTATTCAAATGAGATTCCAAGTCCATTTGATATTCTGCTTTTCAATATACAGTGGTACCTTGGAATTTGAACATAATCCGTTCCAAGACATAGATAAAATTCCAAATCTTTCAGGTTCAAAGGCAGTTTTTCCGATTGAAAATAATGGACACTAAATTAATCTTTCCAGGGTCCAACAAACTAAATTGTAAAATTTTATTTTCTCAATACATACACTGTAAATATAGTAACAAATGATGATCATATTTGACTAAAACCGTAAATAATTAAAAAGAAATGTGTAGAAACATTTTGCTAACTAATCATGATAAAAAAATTAGTGACATTCTTCTTCTTCTTCTTCAGCACTCTGAGCCTTTGCAGTTCATTTGTGCAGATATCACCCACCTCCATTCATCTCTCTGGTTGGCCTTCTCTTTCCAGTTGGTGACACCAAGTGTTTGCAGGTCTGTCTGGACATGATCTCTCCATCGTCTTCTTGGTCTGTCTCATGGTCTACGACCATTCATCTCCCTTGTGTATAGTTTTTACTTCTCTGTTTTCTGATATTCTGTCAACGTGACCCAGCCATTTAAACCTATTAGCTCTCATGATGCCAATGATCAGTGGTGATTTAAACAGATCATGAATTTCATTGTTGCCTCTTACTTTCTATTCCCCATGGTTTAAATCTTTAATAGGTCCAAAGATTCGTTGTAATACTCTGTTTTTGAAAATCTGTAATAAGCCTTCATCTCTTTCAGTTGTGCTCTAAGTTTCAGAGCCATATGAATCGACTAGTCTTGTCAACGTTTTATGTATTTTGTTCTTGGTAAAATGGTGACATAGCATATAAAAATAGGAGGAGGAAGAGGGATTTAGGGAGATTATTGTTTGGAAGATCAGTCATCTTTTATAATAACATCAGGAAACTTTTTTAGTGTTTCACATTGTGGTCTATCATCACTTGTAGAGAGTTTGGGGGTCATTAGTTTTTGGTGAAAGCCAGCATTCAGTAGTGCTCTGATGTTGACGGCCATTTTTATTTTTCTAAAATGTTTGATAATGTGATCATTGAATGAGTTAACACACCTGTTAACTAGTGCTCTATCAGGGTACTACCTCTGAACAACTTCTGGAGTTTTCAACCACATGGTAACAAATGTTTGGATTTCAGCAGTGCTAATCCTTCCAACTTCCTCTTTTGTTAGCAGGCATATGCCAAGCGCCAAGTTTCCAAGGTGGTGTTCAAATTTCCTGGCAAACTTTACTTGAAAATTTTGTTTGGATTCCAGGTTGTTAGAATTTTTAAGCATTTGAATTTGGAGGTACCACTTCTTCTTCTTTTGCCATTTTACTGATACCAGGTTGTGGCCCAGTATCGTGGTTTTCTGTATTTGTCCTGCAGTTCTCAGGTGGCTTGAGTGATGGATTTGTTCATATTTTTGCAGGTTTCAGCTAGACCATTCATCCATCTCTTTCTTGGCCTTCCTCTCACCTTCCTCCCAGATGTTCTGCTGTAAAAGGTCTCATATACAGTTTGGTCTGGCTGCATTCTCACCAGATGGTCAAACCATTTCATTCTTTGTCTGTCAGTATAATCCAGACATGGTCTTACTACAACTTTCTCTCGAATGCTGATATTCGTAACCGTGTCTCTTGTGTTGTAAGTGACCTTGCAGAGACAGCACATTTCACATGTAGTTATTTTCTGTTCTAGTGCCCTATTGGCTAATAAACAGCATCCTGTCTCAGAAGCTGAAATATTTTGGTCATATCAAGCGCCACGGTTTGGAAAAAAATAATAGCAGAAGGCATGGTACCAGGAAGGAGTGGCAGGGGCCAACCAACAGGAAGATGGGCACAGGATATAAGTGACTCCTTGAGTATGAAAGTTCATGAGGTGGGAGAGGTGGGGAGAGACCAAGTTTCTTTTGGGCAGACCGTGATGAGAGCAACGTTCTGCAAAGGACCTGCTACATAATGATGATGATGAATGCCCTATTCATCATCCATATTCCGGACTGATAGCATAAAGTAGGGGTAATTCTAAATTTCTTGTGTAGTAGCAGGTACTGCTGTGTATGATAAAAGGTATCTTTCCTACAATCTGTCCTATAGTATTGTTTCTCATTTGGTGTCAGGTTTTTACGAGGGGAAGTCAATAAATAAGTCACAAATGATTGTTGGATGGCAGGAAAATGTATTTGGTTTGTTCCAAAGGTGTCATTAGATGACAGCAACATTGAACTTTATGTCTCCATTCGTTAGGTGGCGCTAGGTGTTGCATGCGCATTCACAACATAGTGGCAACTGTACTTACGGAGTGTACCCTTAAAGAACAACATGCTGTTGTGTGTGTTTTTTTTTGAGGACAAAAAGGCTGTCTTCAAAAGACATTCATAAGAAAATGCTTCCTGTTTATGCTGACAAATAGTTTTCCCATAAAGCATCACTACCAGCCCAAATCAAAGCGTGCTTCGGTGCAATGGAAACATCCTTCTTTGCCTTATGTTAAAAAATTCAAGGATACGTCATCAGCAGGGAAGGTTATGCTGACAGTGTTCTGGGATTATCAAGGAGTGTTTTCCAATGAAAAAAGAAAAGCTGACAATGTGAACGCTGATTCATACTAGTAATTAATTAATAATATTAATAATAATTCATAATAGTAATTAATAGTTAATCAAAATATTATCATCATTACACATCGGACAAGTCCATTAGTGCTTGGATCCCATCTTTTCTGATTCAGACTGTATAGTTCTATCGCTTCATGATACAAATTAAAGAAAACGTCCAGGCCTGCTGACTAGAGGAGTACTGCTCCTTCATGAAAATGCCAGACCACATGCGGCTTGGTTAACTCAGGAGAAAATTTAACCATTTAGGGTGAGAACTTCTGGAACCTTACAGCCCAGACTTAGCCCCTAGCGATTTCCTCTTTTTTGTCCACTGAAAACCCACCTTGGCAGGACACATTTTGTTACTAACGCAGAAGTTGAATGTGAAGTGAAAATTTTGTTTAGAAAACAGATTAAACAGTTCTAGGCAGCAGGTTTGGGAGGTCTGATAAAGTGATGGGACAAGTGAATCACTGTTTGTGGAAATTATGTTGAAACATAAAGGGACAATGTAAGTGTAAAAATAAACGATTTCAAGTAATTATTGTCTTTAGTTTTTTTTTAAACAACCATTTGTGATTTACTTATTGACTTCCCTCAAAGATTGATAACATTTCCAAGTATCTCATCTCACAGATGTTGGTTTTAGAAATTTGAGTTTTTGACAGTATCAGCAATGTTGGTATAAAATATGCTACTTAAAATCTGTTGCTTTTTGCAGACATTATGTTCGGATGGGGCTAGTTGATATACAAGTGCCACAATTGTGTTAACAAGCAATAGAGCAGAATTTATGTTTGTTACAGGAGGCCAGAAATAAAGATGGAGCTAGTCAAAACTTGAAGAAACTGTCACAGAAATATCATGCAGAATCTTCTGCTATATTTGGAGCAACAAGAATGCTCAATGATGGAATTATTTTACCTCAAGAAACTCGCAAAGTAGGTTTTTATTGCAACTGAGTTCTGTCAAGAATTAATCCCTAAAATGGGTGCTAGGTATTGTCTATAAATTGATGAAATTAAAATAAAAGGTGAGACATGTTTTCATTATAACTTTTTTGAAACTAAGATATTTATGACTTTCCACACGGGGAAGTATTTTTTTATTCCAGCTATGAAAAAGACTCATACAGAATGTCCTGAAGACTGAGAATTCTGTTCAGATTTATTCAAAATGTTATTGTAAATTTCCAGCTGTGAGTCATTTCAGAAAGATTATATTCTTCTACCTTCTGCCCCTCAATGGAGTATAGGTCCTCAACCAACTCACCAGAGGTCATCCTATCCTTCACTGTTGCATGCAGCTCATACTATGTCCTCCCCATCTTTTTGACTTCACTCTCTAGCTCCCTTCTCTATGTGTGTTTTTTGTGGGGGGGGGGGGGGGGGGGGAGGTCTGCCTTTATTTCTATACCTTTGTGGGTCCCAATGCAAACACATTCTTGTTATATTGTTCTCAGGTTTTCTTAACGTGTGTTCTATTCAATGCCAGCATCTTTTCTTCATCTCTTGGACCATTGGAACTTGTTTAGTTCTCTCTCAAAGCTCAACATTATTGATTCTATGATACTGTTTAATTCTCTATTCCAGTTAATGAATTTTTTTAGTTTACTGGTAATTATTTTAGCTGTTCTCCATGTTTTCACTCCATACAACAGCACTGATTTGACATTAGAATTAAAAATTGTAAGTCTAGTTGTAGTTTTAATTTCTTTTGACCTCCACAAATTTCCTAGTACAGTGAAAGCTCTTCTTGCCTTTTGTATTTGTATTTTAATATCTCTATCGTCCCCCATCCCCCATCTTTATCTACATTACTGTCCAATTAGGTGTATGACTCCACATCTTGGAGTGGGATACCCTCAAGAGAAACCACATTACTATTTGGCTGATTTATTCTCATTGTCTTTGTTTTTTCCTTATGGATTTTAGAGTGATTATAAGACAAGAAACAGTTTTAATAAAGTTCCATCTGTGTCAAGTGCACATGTAACGGTGGGAGACGTGTACCAAGTAATGGTCACATGGCTGCAGCATGTAAACCAGGGAGTCAAACACCCGCTTAATTGAAGAGTGCTTTTGCCAAGTGGAGAAAACTCTTAACAAACACAACAATGCGAGTGAAGGTCATTGTAAGGAGGATAGTTCTTTCGGGGAATGAAGTGATAGGATTTGCAGTTAAAAGCATCAACATATTGACTCCTGATAACCATACTGTCACTAAGTAGCAATTACTTCCCTTACATGGGAGCTGCAATAGTGCAGTAGCTAGCATGCCTGTCTGATAGCCCAGTGGTCATGTATTCTTCTTCATCTTATGCATTCACCAGCTGTGAACTCTGGTAGAAAGTCCTGGTTGTTTCTCCATGTCTGGACTTTGGTCTTGTTCCAGGACTTTAGTGTTCCTTATCAAGGCAGACGGTCTTTTTCTATACTTTTTTTTTTACATCGACCCATTCAACGAGTTTTAAAATAGGTAATGGAATGTTTCTAACAGTATGGCAGATGGTGAAATATTGATGAGATAACCCATTCAGTGCCGACTGGTCTATAAATCTATGGGGCTGGCATCATATACCCAGTACACTTCAAGGCTTTATTTATTTATTCAGATTACAGCAAATTCAGGTACTTAAGTCTAATTATTAATTAGTTTTTTAACAGACCTTTTCCATTTTAGGTATTTTATAAACAAATATCTTACTGTCTGCAGGTTTTGTCTCAATGTTTGGCCATTTGTAAAGCCTACAGACCCCGAGGGCAGCAAGATTATCCTGTCTTCAGATTTTGAAAAAAATGGCAGATGTTTTCTGGAGACATTATCAGAGTCACTTTCTACACTTACTACCTGCCTCGGAAATCATGACCAAAATCAGGAGCTGTGTGATACAGAGCTAGCCTGTATGAATTACATACTTCAGTCTCTAATTGTTTATTATTTTTTTCAACTAGATATTTTTATTTTTATGTATTGTGTAAATAATTAATTTTCTCCAGGTTTTTTCTCGGTGTTTAGCCATTTGTAAAGCCTACAGACCTCGAGGGCAGCAAGATTTTCCTGTTTTCAGATTCTGGAAAGTTGTACATTTTTTAATAAACATTATTGGAGTAATTTTCTGACTTCCTGCCTGCCTAGGAAATCATGGCCAAAATCAGGAGCTCTCTGACACAGAGCTAGCCTGTATGAATTAGTCTATGAAAATTTATGTCTCCAATTGTTTATTTGTTTTTCAACTTTATATTTTCCTTTTTATGTGTTGTGTAAATAAATGTCTGCATGTTTTGTCTCAGTGTTTGGCCATTTGTGAAACCTACAGACTCCGAGGGCGGCAAGATTATCCTGGCTTCAGATTCTGAAAAGTTACAATTTTGTTTCCATAGACATTATTGGGGTCACTTTCTGACTTCCTGCCTACCTTGGAGATCATGACCACAATCAGGAGCACTGTGATGCAGAGCTAGCCTGTATGAATGATGTTATTAACATGAAGCCACTTCTGTTTTCCTTCCTCAAACTTCAACATCTGTTTCCTGGGTAAAATCTGCTATAGTAGTAGTAATGTTCACAAAATTATCTTGTGCAAACCTGTGGGTTATAATTGGGATATAAAGTGTTCATGGAGTTTTCAGCGTAAATAATTTTTATTTTATATATCATGTACATATTTATTTAGGGCAATTAAGTAATTGGTATTATTGTTTCAAATATTGCTTTTTTTACACGTTCCTGAGTTGTGATCAAGTTAGATCTTATACTGTGAATATTTTGATAATCTTAACTAAAATTACGTCATTAAAATAGTGGATTTATTATACCCTTAGTTATCCTCGTCAGTTTTATCTTTAGGGGTATTCCTTACCCTTCTATAAATGGATTTTAGTTCTTGTAAAAAATTGCTGGACTTTGTCGCACAGGTTTCTGGGGCTTTCTATGTGCCACGCAAGTTTCTGGGGCTTTCTATGTGCTGCGCAGGTTTCTGGGGCTTTCTATGTGCTGCGCAGGTTTCTGGGGCTTTCTATGTGTCGCACAGGTTTCTGGGGCTTTCTATGTGTCGCACAGGTTTCTGGGGCTTTCTATGTGTCGCACAGGTTTCTGGGGCTTTCTATGTGCTGCGCAGGTTTCTGGGGCCTTCTATGTGTCGCACAGGTTTCTGGGGCTTTCTATGTGTCGCACAGGTTTCTGGGGCTTTCTATGTGCTGCGCAGGTTTCTGGGGCTTTCTATGTGTCGCACAGGTTTCTGGGGCTTTCTATGTGTCGCACAGGTTTCTGGGGCTTTCTATGTGCTGCGCAGGTTTCTGGGGCCTTCTATGTGTCGCACAGGTTTCTGGGGCTTTCTATGTGTCGCACAGGTTTCTGGGGCTTTCTATGTGCTGCGCAGGTTTCTGGGGCTTTCTATGTGTCGCACAGGTTTCTGGGGCTTTCTATGAGTCGCACAGGTTTCTGGGGCTTTCTATGTGCTGCGCAGGTTTCTGGGGCTTTCTATGTGCTGCGCAGGTTTCTGGGGCTTTCTATGTGTCGCACAGGTTTCTGGGGCTTTCTATGTGCAACAAATTTTCCATCATCATAGTTAATCAACAGAGATTCAAGTAGTCAGTTAATAGTTTTCTTTGGAGTTCATATTTCTTACATTCCAGCGATTAGTGTTTTGTATTATTGTACTTCTGGAACACTCAAGATCTGGAACGCGACCAAATCCAGAAGATGACGATTGACAAGAACTTTCTACCAGAGTTTAGAGCTGGTGAAAGCTAAAAGAAGAAGTATTCCAGAGTTATGTCTCAATTCCCTCTTGTTTCTTTTTTGAGTTACTGGGTTGTGACAAGTTAAGGCAGTATACTTTTGTACTCTTAGGTGAAATGTTCTTAGATCGGAGTGAACAGTCTGGATGGGGTTTTGTGTCTAGAGTGAGGGCAGGTCATGACAGAACAAAATTGATCTACAGCTTCAAGCATTATAATGAAGGTAAAGGTAATGACTTGTGCTCTGAAGTAGATAACGAGAAATAGATTTTTCAGGGATATCCTAGTATTAGATTCTCAGTCTGTGTTGCATAAAGTTACAAATGGGTGTTTGTGATAGTCAAGTCATGGGTAGCGACAGCATATCACAGAAGCCAGCTTTAGGCCTCAGAAATGAGATATATGAGAAAGGTTGTCCAAGTGACCAGAAGGGACAAAAGTCAAAACCTGACAATTCCTCATGATCTTGAAACCCAGGCCTTACAAACTCAGGCAGATCAGGCACAGTTACGATGGTTTAGATATGTATGCAGAATGGGACAGAATCAGCCGGCATGGGAGGCCAAGAACCAGGATGACCCAGGATCGCTGGGAAGACAACATCCGACCGTCCCTGACTGACAGAGAACTGAAACGAAAAAAAAAAGTCTGGCGATATCTCTGGCAAACCTCTACACCCACAGGATAGAAGTGGATCGCTAGAAAAAAGGTGTGTGTCATGGAAGTAAAGGATCCGTTTAAGGCCAAATATTAGGTATATGATGCTAGAACCATATTTTTATAGACCAGTTAGCACCTAATGGGTGATGTAGTCAACATCATGCTGGCCACATTGACTTTCCAGAACAATTTCTGTTACCCAATATTGAATGCTGGGTCGATCATGGAGCCAAAGCCAGTTTTGAGAAAAACCACTCTCGATGAAGATTCAAATCCAAGACCTTTAGGCTGACTGGCGAAGGTCTAGCCACTATGCTATAATGGCTCCCTTTGTGACATGAGCAGAAATCAGTCATCAGCACTGGAATATTTCAGGGACGTGACACGATCGCTAAGACATGCAGGCCTGTGAGACAGTGGCAGAGCAGATGTTTGTGGCCAAGCAAAAAGAACGATACATTCTTATATGGAAACTCCTGTTTTCAAGTAACTCCTAGTTTATAATCCCGTGTGGGGAAAAAAAGGGGACGGGGGGATTTGGAACTTTTTATAACTAACCTGATTGGTATAACTAATTGAAACAAATTGGGCACGCAGGTCCATCTTACATTAGGCCCTTCCAAACAGCCACCTTTCACACAGCAGTTGTATTTTATCCTAAAGAGTCAGCAGGTTGTAAATGTTTTTGTTTTGTCTAAACAATGTTGCTAATGTGGATGTCTGAAACAATGAACTGAGATGTTGCTAATGTGGATGTTTGAAACTATGAACTGAGGTGTTGCTAATGTGGATGTTTGAAACTATGAAATGAGGTGTTGCTAATGTGGATGTGTGAAACTATGAACTGAGGTGTTGCTAATATGGATGTCTGAAACTACGAACTGAGGTGTTGCTAATGTGGATGTCAGAAACAATGAACTGAGATGTTGCTAATGTGGATGTCTGAAACAATGAACTGAGGTGTTGCTAATCAGGATGTCTGAAACTTGAACTGAGATGTTGCTAATGTGGATGTCTTAAACTATGAACTGAGGTGTTGCTAATGTGGATATCTGAAACTATGAACTGAGATGTTGCTAATGTGGATATCTGAAACTATGAACTGAGATGTTGCTAATGTGGATGTCTGAAACTATGAACTGAGATGTTGCTGTTGTAGATGTCTGAAACTATGAACTGAGGTGTTGCTAATGTGGATGTCAGAAACACTGAACTGAGGTGTTGCTAATGTGGATATCTGAAACTATGAACTGAGGTGTTGCTAATGTGGATATCTGAAACTATGAACTGAGATGTTGCTAATGTGGATGTCTGAAACTATGAACTGAGATGTTGCTGTTGTAGATGTCTGAAACTATGAACTGAGGTGTTGCTAATGTGGATGTCTGAAACTATGAACTGGGGTGTTGCTAATGTGGATGTCTGAAACTATGAACTGAGATGTTGCTAATGTGGATGTCTGAAACTATGAACTGGGGTTTTGCTAATGTGGATGTCTGAAACTATGAACTGAGATGTTGCTAATGTGAATGTCAGAAACACTGAACTGAGGTGTTGCAAATGTGAATGTCAGAAACACTGAACTGAGGTGTTGCTAATATGGATGTCTGAAACTATGAACTGAGGTGTTGCTAATGTGAATGTCAGAAACACTGAACTGAGGTGTTGCTAATGTGGATGTCTGAAACAATGAACTGAGGTGTTGCTAATATGGATGTCTGAAACTATGAACTGAGGTGTTGCTAATGTGGATGTCTGAAACTATGAACTGAGGTGTTGCTAACGTGGATGTCTGAAACTATGAACTGAGGTGTTGCTAACGTGGACGTCTGATGCTTAGCTGATTAAAAGACAGAACAAAAAATCAATAACACAGAAGACAGTGCTGTTAACTTTTCAAATGCAATAGCATTTTAGCAAAATAAACAGTGAATGGTTTACACAAAATTACACTGAGCATAGGATTAACACCTCTATATATTTTGCGCAAGTTGAAAAGAAAGATCTTACAATATTGAGACAGGCCATAATGAATTATCATTAGCACTTTATGTGCCAGCTGTTCTTGTCCGTACCATGGGTTTCTTTATTTGCCCTTAAAAGAGTGGTTGCCACTTTGTGTTGAAGTTTACAGCTTGGCTGTGTTATCTGCATCTTTCGGTCCAACACATACAATTTTAACATAACCTTAGTGGTCATCTTTTACATCATGCTTGTTAAAGGCTATTCTTTGCCACCAGACTTCCACCCTTCTTAGTGTGCCAGAACCCATACAAGGTATCAGTTGCAAACAATTTATTTCACTATTTATTTTAAGTAATATTTTTGTTCATTGTTAACGGATTGGGAGAGTAGTTCAAATTTGTACTTTTCTTTTTCTGTCTTTCAACT